AAAAAAGTGTCAAAATAAAATAATAATTTTTTTTTTAAATTGAAACTTTAAAAAAAAACCATTTGAATTGTATGATGTCTCGGTAATAGACCTCTATGAAATTTTTCTGTTTCTTGTTTTCTTTTTGAAAAAATGAGGTAATTCAAATGGTACGCTCAATGGACCAATAAATTGATTTCATTCTGAACACAAAGAACGATACACACTGTCGCATTATTATATAGATATTTCGCTTTATTATTCTTGTTTATACAGTCAAGGTTTTTTATCTTCGTCATATAAATAACCAGATCAGAAGCGATGTAATCGGTAGGAGATGAGAATTATTCAAGTGTTCAACAAAAAAAAAGAAGGAACACTTCTGTATGTTTTACAATCAGATCTGATTAGATATATATATATATATATATATTGTTATGTAAGAGAGATGAATAATAGGAATATATCGATACATATGTATGTATGTATTATCGACATGTCGAGGTTGACATAATTCTCTAACTCTTATAGTATGTAAGATTATAACTAAGTTAGTATGATTGTCATTTTTTGTTGCCTTCGTCATGTCACAAAGAGAATAAGGTCATATTCTGAGATTAAGATTTGGTTATACAAATAATCTTGTCTATTTTGTCATATCATTAATAAGCTTTCAGTACGCTTGTATTCATTTATTATTACATCTATATATATATATATTAAGAATCAGAGAAATTTAATATCAAACATGTTTTCATCAAATGATTGCTTTGTTTCGTTCACTTTTTTTTTTTCAATCAAAAGTTTAATATAATGAAGAATGTACGTGTTTAGTTTATACTCGCCATCATTAATCCATCTATCATAATCTAATTATGCTGATTGTCTTTCTGTCCAGACAATGAGAATGAACAATGATGATCATGATCATTCGTGGTCATTCGTGGTCATTCACTGTCTACCACAAATACTTGTAATATGATGATCAATCATTATTAAAGAACATCGTATATGGTTTGATTACATCATCGTAGCATGAGAGGTCAGGTCACAGATAGAGATCAAACTAATCGTTATTGGATGAACAGAGTGTGACAGCTGCTACTCTCTGCTGACCCTGAGACGCATTTCTTTTTTTGCTTGTTCGTTTTCTCCCTCTCGCTCTCTTCTTCAGTCATTGATAAATGAATGATACTTCTATTCACTTGTAGAGCAGTATTTTGCCAATGAGAATGTTTGACTCGTACGAACATCAACAATCGTCATCTGCTACATCTTCATGTGATATAGAATCAATGGACGAAATTCCACCTCCAACAGCATCATCAATACTCTCACTTAATGATGATCTTACAATATCAAATAGATTAAGTACAACAACACCACAAAATTCAGTTACACTTCGATTCAAAGTTTGTTTGTTTGTTTTAATAAAATATCGTATTTTTAATTCTTATTTTTTTGTATTAAAGAAAAAACGAAAACGTAAACTTGAATCAGATACAGTATCACTTCGTTCACTTGAAGATATTGTTGGTGATCATTTTCAACGAAGAAAACGTTTATCATTACCACGTTTATCATCTGTATCAGAATTATTAAGTCCAATGTGTGATCGTGTAATAAATATGCTTCAAACAACAAAACAATCATCATCAGCTAATTTATTAAATCTTATTAATCATAATACAAATCATAATTCAACTATACGTCGTAAGATACCATCACAACAAACATCAAATAATGTATCATCACCAACAACAATAAAAAAATTTCGTGCTGCTTGGTCAGAAACATGTGATGGAGAAAAATTAAAACAAACAATGACAGCAACAGAAATTGAACGACAAAATGTTCTTTATGAATTATTTTCCGAAGAACAACAAATGATTGAAAATTTAGGTTTAGCACAACGAGTAAGAAAATTTATATAATTAATAAAATTAAATGAAATTTTTCATAGGTCTATCGTAATGGTATGAAAACATTAAATATTTTAACAGATTCGGAATTAAAACAAATATTTGGACCGCTTGAAGATATTTTACCGTTACATGAAGGCAACAAATTTTTTTTTATCTTAATAAAAAATGAAATCTTATTTAATAGATCTTCTCTATCGATTAAAACCAAAAGGTAATTCATCAATTGATGCTGTTGGTCAAATTTATCTTGAATGGGTATAATAATCTTTGAATTTTTTTTTAGAAAAAATTTTTTTAATTATTTTAATTAATTTAGTTTCAACGTATTCGTTCATCATATGTTTCTTATTGTTCGAATTTAATTAATGCAAAAGAATTATTAGATGCTAAACGATGTGAAGAAAATGGTCGTGTTGATGATTATCTTAAACGTTGTACTGATTCAGGTTTTAGTCGTAAACTTGATCTTTGGGATTTTCTTGGTTGGTAAAAATTTGATTATATGTTATTTTTATTAATAATACTTTTGATAGATCAACCACGTAGTCGTTTGATGAAATATCCAATTCTATTTAAACGTATTCATAAACGAGTAAGATAGGTTTTTAATGACATTTCCTATCGTAGAAAAACTAAGCATTTTTTTCATTTGTGTATATATAGAAAAGTATCTAACGAGGATCAGACTCCAGTGTAACGCATCGTATTGAATTGAATGTATATTAGTTTGTAGACTAGGATGAAACTATAAAAAAGTCTAAACGAGTTCGTTTTCATACCTCGTACTTCGTGAGTCATGATTATTTTATTGGATTTTCGCTTGAAATTTTGCTCATAGATAGTTCTCATGATTATTAGAATGTTCTTAAACTTGTGATCCAAAAGAATGTTTTCTTCTTGAGATATTGAACGTTCAAAAAAAAAATCAATCATGTGCCAAGAGCCGAGGCAAAAAGTTTGAAAGGATTTCAATAACCATGAGAGCCATCTATAAGCAAAAAATGCCATAATTTCATTCCTTCATATATGTCTTATCAAAGATCGAAATTCCAATACAATGGTCACAATTCAAGAAGTATTCAATATGAATACGAACTCTTCTAGGGGTTTTTAACTTATCTCATTGTAGTCAATAAAATTGGTATGTATCCAATTTAAAACAGTACGTGACACTTGCATATTTTCCCTCGTAAGATTGATTCACATTTTTTAACTAATCGAAAAAAAAACATTTGAAATTTTTCTCGAATAAAAAAGAATGTGAAAAAATAAATAAACTGTACTTAAATTGAGTGTTTTTTCTTTATTAATTCATACTCTCAGACATACAGTAACAAATATATATTCTTTTTAGACTAAAGATGGACATGAAGATAAACGAATATTACTTGATACGGTAAATAAATTGAATTGAAAGAAATTTAAAAAAAAAAAAATAATTTTTTTGTCTTGTCTTAAGATTAATATTGTTGAAGAACTTATAAATGATGTTAGTCAAGCAACATCAGCACAACTCTGTTCAAATGTTATTGCACGACTTGTTTATATGAATGATGAACAAGTAAAAACAAAAACAAAATTGTAATAAAATTTTTTTGTTTTTTCAAAATTTCTTTTCTATTAGAAACATCCATTAATTGAAAAACAAACACGTATTATATGTCAAGGTGAATTAAAAAATAATCGTGGCCATGTAAGATATTTTCTCTTTGTTTTGATATATATTTTTTTGTTAAATTCAATTTATTTAAATAGAAATTACATGTGTTTTTATTTGATGAAATACTTGTATTTACACGTATAGCAACTCGTAATGGTTTAAAATCTTATCAATTAACAAATTATCCTATACCTGTTCTATCATTAATTGTCGAAGATATTGAAGATGGTGTTAAAATTCCTGAATTATCATCTGGTAGTTTTTCACGTACATTAGCTGGATCAAAACCTGGTTTGTTTTTTTTATAAATTAATCAAAAACAAATCGATTATTGTTATTTTTTGATTTTAGCTCGTAATGTATTACGTTGTTCTTCATCATCATCTTTAGATAATAATAATAGTCGAAATACATCTATGTTATTACAAGCTCGCGATATGTATGATAAACAACAATGGTTAAGTGCATTTCGATCAATAACAACAATGAATAAACAATAATAATTAGATTAGTTTCTTTTTTTTTTATATTTCTTTTTTTTTGTTTCATTTATTCAAACAGCAACACTTGTTCTGATATAATATAATTTTTTTTCTGTTTGTTCTCTATGTATAGAAATCTTGTTTTTTTTTTTTTCATTTCTCTATTGCGCTGTTTATCTTTTGACTAAAGATATAATGACATCAATGAAAAAAAAATAATATAGTAGATCTATGTTTTACATCTGCTGTTTTTTTTCTTGTTTGTTTTTAAAAAAAAAAGTATTATGTGGTTCTAAGAACAATATTAGTTGATATAAAGTTATTTGAAAAGAAAAAAAAATTTTGTTTTTTTCTCGCGGGATTTTTTATGGTGTCAGAGGACGAGAGACGATACGTGACTACATATATCATATCGTAAGTGTCTATTTGAAGTCATGTCTACTCTCTCTTCCTATCGTAATCATTTAACAGAATAGTAAAAAGAAGATAAAAAACTATATATGTATGTGTTAAGTGATAGTAATGTGACCAGTTGCAAAAAGCTTTAGATGAAGATAGAAGTATTCCTTGTGTATTACATTTGATTTATTAAAATAGTCTATATGATGATTTTGTTTTTTAGATATGTCATCATCATCTACCTATAAATTAATTTATTTCGATGGTCGTGGCTTAGCTGAAACATCTCGTATGTTATTTAAAGCTGCTGGTCAAGCATTTGAAGATTATCGTTATCCAATAGTAATAAGCGGTGGTCAATATCAACGACCTGAATGGGATGCCGATAAACCAAAATATCTATATGAAAAAATTCCTGCACTTGAAATTGATGGTGGTAAATATACAATAGCTCAATCGAAAGCAATTGAACGATTTTTAGCACGTCGTTTTAATATGATGGGCAGTAATGATGTTGAAACTGCAATTATAGGTAACAAAAATATTTTCTATTTTGTTCACATAAATGAATTTCTATATATTGATATATATGTATATATATATATATGAATAGATGCAGCTGGTGAACAAATTATTGATGTTAAACAAGCATATAATAAAGCAAAAACTGCCGGTGAAGATAGTGTTAAAAAATTTTTTGAAGAAGATTTAAAAAAAACTTTTATGGCATTTGAAAAACAAGCAAATAAAGATAAATCTGGCTATTGGATGGGTTCACGTTTATCATTATTTGATATTCAACTTTATAATTTAATACATTTTTTTGATGATCAACAAAGTGTTCAAAAAGCATTAGAAAATTGTCCATCATTAAAAGCTGTTCATGATAAAGTTGAACAAACACCGGAAATTAAAAAATGGCTTGATGAACGTCCTCAAACAGTTTTTTAACAAGAACAAAAAAACAAGCACGAATATTATTATATGATTGACTGAAAATTAATCTTAAAGATCATATTAGCACCTTCTTTAAATCATAATAAAGAAATAGTTAGATAGAATTTATGCACCATCACTAGTTAAAACATGTTTTTTTCTTTTCATTTAATTTCTTTTCTTTTTTGAAATCATCAAGAGAAAATATATAACGGAAACACCTTCAAGATTTTTAGGAATGTTTTTTTGCTGTTTCTTGTCTATCAAAGAGAAACTCATAAGTAAAATCTTATAAATTCAAAGTATCATTATCTGCTAATGCGCACTATTATGATCATAAAGTGATGCACAGTGAGTATGGAACGTAAATTATATATTTCATCTTATCACAGGCGATAGAATGTTTTAAATTTAGGGTAAACTTAACAATCTTTATAAGATCTTCACGAAGAAGTTAAGAATAGAAAAAAGGAGGACGGATCTATTATGCCATTCTGATGAAAGACAATTAGTGCTTGTTATTTCCACCATACATTTTGCACTGTATTTTATTTTTAATTTAATTTCGACTCTTGAAAGAAGAGTTTTCGATGTGCTGTACTAGAAAAAAAGAATAATGATAAAGCAGTAGTTTAAAAAAAGATAGATTACATTGTGGATTTGTTCACGTTATTGATAATGTTTTTTAGTCATATAAACTGAGCTACTGAAGGTGAAGAAAACTTTCGACAACTGTTAATCTATCTAATTCGAGTTTGTCGTATAGTTCTTCTTCACTTATAACAGAGGAGTCCTATTTAAAATCATTAGCAATGTAGGACCCAACATTTAGTTATACGAAATTCAATGTTATCTCAAATATGTTTTCTAAGTCTGTTTCGCTACGAAAATATTATTATTTGCGAGACAAGACGATGAAAAAATCTTAAGGTTTGAATAAGAATTTCGATGCACTGCAAAAATGGATTAATCTGATGGAATGATAATCAAATGTTTGAGCCATCGATACCTTAATCGAGAGTAGGCCGAAGTGTACTCAAGCCTCGTAGTTCCACCGCTTATCCTTATCATCGTTAATCTTAATTAGAAAAAGCTTAACAAAATCAAAGAAAATATTTATTCTAAAAAAAAATAATATTTCAAACTCATATTGATCAACAAATAATTTGTCTTAAGATGAATAATCTTCCAATTAATGACGAAGAAGAATTCTAGGATTAATATCTGCTTGTAATTTGAAAAGAACAATTCTTTATACCTTGATATAAATGCTAGATTAGATAAAATATTAAAGATAATGTCAAATAAATTTCGAATCAAACAACGATCACTGACTAACTCTGTTCATTTTATTAGTTCAAGAGTTTTATTGTCTTCAAATTTAGATCGGTCTCTAACAGATTTACAGACATAAATATCTTACTGAAAAGTATTTAGATTTATATAACAGAACTTTTTCCATTTAGAAAACAGATGTCACTAATCAGTTATTGTATAATGCTCTTATACATGACTTTCCCGTATTGTCGAAGCAGTCGACCAATAAATTCGCTTTATACATAACTACCTTGAATTTAGTATTTTTTGTTCAAACAACTGTTCTTCGTTGTATAATATATAAATAACATGAGTTCTCGTGAGTTGTTATTTGTCAATTTGATTATTGATTTTATTTGTTCATCTTTATATAGGTGGTCCTATGCGCCTTTCAAAAAGTTATCCTCATCCTCAACAACAACAACAACAACAACAACAACCGCCAACGCAACCACCATCTCAATTTTATCAACCTACAGCTCCCAATCGTTTGTATTTTCTTTTATTATTTATTATTAATTTTATTATTTTTTTCTTGTATTATAAAGCTCAATCACAATCACCTACGTCTTATGGAGGTGATTTTACAATACCTCAACCACAAACATCTTCATCTTATGGAGGCGATTTTACAATACCTCAACCACAAACATCTACATCTTATGGAGTTGATTTTACGATACCTCAAGCACAAGTACCTTCGTCTTATGCAGCCGAATATAACATACCTCAACCACAAGCACCCTCGTCTTATGCAGCTGAGTATAAAATGCCTCAACCCCAAGCAATGCCTTCAAATAATGCATTCTTTTCACCACAAACTGCTTTCTATGCTCCACCATCTCAACAACAAATGTTTTCTAATCAGGGTATACCTGGAATGGAATCTCTTTCAAATAATCCTCTTTTTAATGTTGGTTTAAATGTTGTTGAACAAGGCATGAAAGATCTAACAGGCAAAACTGTTAATATGTTACCAGCTGAAGTAAAGAATTTATTTATTTATTTGTTTACTTTATTTATTTTTGAATAAATTTAGATGAAAAAATCTTTATCATCAATAAAATATTATTTTGCTGTTGATCAAACGTATGTTTTAAAAAAACTTTGTTTACTTCTATTTCCATTTCGACCAAGAGTAAAAATAATAAAATAAATATTAATGAATAATTTTTGATAAATTAATTTTATCTTTTTTAGAATTGGTCATTGGAATATAGTGCTGATGAACCTGTACCACCACGTGTTGATTCAAATGCACCGGATTATTATATTCCACGTAATAACACATGATCGAAAAGTTTTTAGACAAGATATTTGTTCATTTTTGATCAGTTAAAAAAATATTGTCGAAAAGTCAATAGTTATGATTCAGGATGATCTTTTCGAATATGAGTTTTGAAATTTTGTTCAAGAGTAGTGAAATAATCTTTAATGAAATCCAAAAAATTTAGTTTAGACGGACAAATTTTTCTTCGCATTTTTGTATTTTCACTATTGCCATACAAAATGTACTATGTGAAGTCTTGTTTTTTATCTTTCGACAAGGTACCTTAATTTCCACATTTCCTAAAATACTCATTTTTGAAAGATCGACAACTGTTTCAAGTTGAAAAGAGTTTTTGGTAAAATGTTTGTAGCCTCTCACTTCGTGAAAAAACAACAGCTTAGTTCAATATCATACTTTGTAGAAAAGTGTCTGCTCTACACAACAATTGATTCCTTCAATTGTTAGCATGTTGATAAAAGTGATTTATAGGATAAACAAAAACCTATTGGCTTATTTCACGCAGGATTAACTTGACGAGCTCTAGTCAAAAGTGAACAAACATTTTGTGTAAAAACTTTTCAATCATCTGTTATTAAGACATCATTTTATTTTATTTTATTTTTTCTTGTTTTTAGTAATGAGTGCTATAACATATGTTCTTGTAGCTGGTCTTGTTCTTGGTACACAGGAAAGGTAAAATCATTTTTTTTATCATTGGTTTTTCAAAAGAAAAAAGAAAGTTTTTTTTTTCTAATGATCCTAAGGTTTACACCTGAACAATTGGGCATGCATGCATCGTCTGTTCTTGTTTGGAATATAATCGAAATTTGTGTTCTATGTTTTACATTTTACATTCTTAACGTTCATTCGAAATTACGTACACTTGATTTAATTGCTTATTGTGGTTATAAATATGTTGGAATGATTGTTGCATTATCATCATATTTAATAACTCATTCATTATTGGTTTATCGTTGTTCTCTACTTTATGTCAGTCTAGCATTATCATATTTTCTTGTATGTTATTTTTTTTATTTTGATTAATTATATTATCTACATATATATATATATATGTATATATATCTAGGTTAAATGCCTTCGTTTACAAATCTTACCTGATACAGATGGATCTCAATCATATGGTTCCGGTGGAAATAAACGTCGTATATATTTACTTCTTCTTATTGTTATACTTCAACCATTATTTATCTGGTATTTAACACAACATTTAATTGTTTATTAAAAAAGAAAAGAAAAGAAAATATTATATTATATTCAGCTTTTTTGTTTGGTTTTTTTTTCAATATATATATAAGGTGTGAGTTTTAGATAATAGAAAAAAAAAGTAAAAAACAGAATGTGGAATAATTTATTAAAATCATTAGTAACAACTACAAATTTAATAACATCATCATCATTTTTGATTCGTCGTTCATTTAATACTCTTTGGCATATGCATACAAATACATTATGGATAACAGGTGTACGTCCTCGACCGAAAAGTAAAATGGATGAACATCCAACAATACGTGGTTTGTATTTATAAAGATAATAATCTATTTGTTTTTTTTTCTTATGTTTATGATTTATATTCCATCTTAGGTATTGTACTTAAAACATTAATTCGAAAACCAAGGAAACCAAATTCAGCTAATCGTAAATGTTGTCGTGTTCGTTTAGCTAATGGAGTTGAAGTTATTGCACATATTCCCGGTGAAGGACATAATTTACAAGAACATCATAGTGTTTTGATACGAGGAGGACCAACAAAAGACTTACCTGGTGTACATTATAAAGTAGTTCGTGGTAAATTAGATTGTAATTTACCAGTAAAAAGACAAACAACATTACCGGCTAGTGCTACAGCAAAATAATGTTTAATTTCTGTTTGTTTATGTTTCTTTTATTGATATTAGAAAAAAAATTGTCACATTACAAAAAAGAAAATCTTCTGTATTTTTTTTATTTGCTTCAAGCAACAATAGGAAAAGATTTAAGATCTCTTTTATATTTCTATCGTAAACGATATTGTTAAAGTTTTCATTCAATACGATTAGTATCAAATTTTACATAAGAAAAAATTGATTAAATTTTTAAAATTAAATTTTATATCGATTGGCATTCAGCTAATCAACAATAAAATAATAAATGGATATTTAACGTCAGTAAGTATCTTATACATTCGTTTTTCAATCAACTTAACTTTTAATGAATATTAACATTTAATTTGACTTACTTTTCTATGAAAATAATTTCTTTTATTTTTTCAAACACATAGGAAATTCTTGCTCTTCAATCCACAAATAGACTCTAAAACACGGCTTGTAGAATAGGTGTCTGATATATATATATATATATACATATATATCAAATTTCTTAATGTTTTAATTGTATATTTAACAGCATGAAGACAAGGACAAATGAATGATATTTTTTTAGAACTAAAAAAAACTGTGATAAAATAGTATTATTTTAAAAATAATAAAACTTAATTTTTTTTATCAATACATCCTTTCGTATAAAACAAAAATCTTTATATTTATTAATATTCATAGAAACAAAACAAGAATAGAATTCAATAGGTTATTAACTTAACAATAGCTTATAATCAATAAATAGTTAATGTTGTTCAATAACAAGAAAATATTACAGAGAAAAGAATGAGCTGGAATGATCATGTCGCATTTAATATAACACACAGTTCTAATCGATGAGTAATACTTATAATCAATAATAGATCATATTTGACCTTGATATTTATAATAATTATTATTAAATTTAAAATTAACCTGCATGAAACAATACAAAATTTTTGTTTTTCTTATTCGAATATTTTAAAATCAAACTATTGATAATTTCTTATTGAATAGAATCTACAAAATATTATTTGATATTGTCTGGATGCATTTGTAATTAGATAATAATTGATAAATCATTTGTATTATGTTGTCTTGTCTAATCTATAAAAATGTCCATATGTTTACATATGCTTGCCTGAAGAACAAAAAACCGGAAATTATCTACTTCATGTTGATGACGTTATTTTTTTTCTTTTCAGTTTTCCTCGTCATCGAACTCATCCGCCTCCACACATCTTAGTGGATGAATCAGTTATTTTGTTCATGATGTTTTTTTTTCTCTTCTTCTCGTCTACAATGATTCAAATGCGAATGACTCGACGGAAACGAACGAATCGATGAATAGGAAAAGAAACAACCGAATAATAATGCATCTGTGTTTTTTTCTTAGGACAATAATGATTCATATATGCACAATGTAGATCAAAAAAAAATTTGTCTATATATATATATATAATAAGAAATTAGTTTTCGTGTTAATCATAGAGTTCTTGATTTTTTTTTATATTCAAGATGAATTTATTCCATCGCAAAAGTAGTGCAGCAAGTTCATCAACTAATCAATCACCATCGGTTCTAAATACAGCCGTAGCTGGACCTGAAGCATTTGCATCAAATTCAGCGTATGGTCGCGGTTTTTTTGAACCAGGTGCTTATTCAGTTGCATTGAAACGATGTGACAATGGTCATGATCTTGCTCAACAATTTGCTGATATGTATGAAGAACGAGCACAACTTGAATTAAATTATACAAATCAATTACGTTCTTGGTCACGTAAATGGCATGGGGAATTAATAAAATCACAAGAATATGGAACAAATAAAAAAGTTTGGGATCAAACAGTAACAACAGGTAATTTTGTTCTTTTTCTTTCTTTTTTAAATTTCTTTTTTGATTTGTAAAAAAAAAATAATACTAGGTGAACAAATGGCTGAGGTTCATGGAGCATTATCATCTTCACTTTCAGACTCATTAATACCTAAACTACGACAATGGCGTAAAGATAATTATGAAAAATCTTTATTACATTATAAAAAAACAAAAGAATTTGAAAAAGAATTTATTGATGCACAAAAATCTTGGACGAAATTACTAGATAAAATATCTGAATTGAAATCAGCTTATTTTGCGGCATGTAAAACAGCTAAATCAGCTGATGATACTGAACGTAATGCATCAGATGAAAATCGAAAAAAATTAGCTGATAAAGCTGAAGTAGCAAGACGTGAAGTTGGATTTGCTAAAACAAAATATGAACAAGCAATAAATGAAGCTCGAGAACAAAGACCACGTTATGAATCAGCTATGAAAGAAGTTTTTGAACGAACACAAGCATTTGAAAGAAAACGTTTGGAATTTTTTAAAGAAACATTTGATGAATTTTCAAAATTATTAGAAACAGCAACACAAGACAAGTAAATTTATTAGAAAAAAATAAAATAAAATAAATTAAAATTTCAAAATTTTCTTCTTTTTTTTGTTTTAGTGTGATCTTGAAAAAAATGATTGATGATTATAAAACAAGTTTGATCGCACATGATTCTACACAAGATTTAACTTGGTGGGATCAAAATTATGGTATATAAATAAATTTTATTTTATATTCTAGTTTGTTTTATGTTTTTTTCGTATTCTATTTATAGGCCCACAAACAAATAATCGATGGCCAGAATTTGAAGAATATCATGATTGATTATAAATTTATGCATGTTATCTATTGATAATCAGACAAATGCTTTTCCCCCTCTCCCTTTACCTTATATTTGTTTAACGGTCATTGTGCATTACTTACCTTCTTTTTTCCATTAATCAGATTTTCCATTTTTTTCTTTTTTTTTGATGTGCAAAACAATCGAATTTTGGATCATTTTTTTTTGAGATAGAAATTCTATTATCAGTTTTTTTTTGTCTCTGTTTTCTTCTTGTCTCAAGTTTGATATTGAAAAACACGAAGACTTGTGTTTAGTCCAGCAATTATTATTATTTTATTGTTCTATATCCGTAAGCATGAATAACATCTGTTAATAATTGTTATACATGAACATAGAATCAACATTTACAGTGGTTTAAAGCTTTGAGCGATTAATTTGTGAAACGAAAGAAAAATATAAGGATAGCTTGATGTGGAACAGACGTGAACGATCAATTCAGTGCAGATAATATTTAAAATAGCTATATTGATAATGTGTTCGATGATAACGATCTTGAGAAAAACAAATTATTGTCATGTAGAACTTAAAAAATCAAGAACTATATTGACTCTCATAATAAATTTTTTTAAAATAAATCTTTATTTGTTTTTCCTTGTTTTAGTGAATAGCTTTTGTATTTATAATTCAGATAAAAATATTGTTGAACAGTGAAAGATTGATTAAGAATCTTACTAAATGCTTGATGGATTTGACAAGATCTATTTTGATTTATTTTTTAAAGATCTAAACATGAGCAAACAAGTGTAAGTCATTTCATTGAACATATCTATATTGAATACATGCAAAGATCAAATAATAGTGAAAACGACACTAAATTTTGACAAGAATTATTGCGATAGAACCAAGATTACAATGTTTTTATCCATATAACCTATGTGTAAAAAGTCCTTACACAAGGAGTTTTCCATAAAGGAGATCGAGATAAAAATCGTATTTTCTGACTTCACTCCTTTCCTTGTTTGGTTTCATCAATCCTTCTTCCTCCTGGACGTCCAGTAGAGTCCAGTAGGTTTAAAATTTTCGGATTCGATTAACAGAAAAGCTTCAAACTCGGACCCACCTGGGTTCGGAATCAATCCAACGAGCTCTAACGTCCAATATAAAAAACCATACTTTCAGAAAAAGCCTGCTTGCTTAAATACACTGCTTATTTTTATTAAATAAGTGTTCATTAAATAAATATACCAAAAATAGAAATGAATAAAAATACATTTCATAAATAACAAACAAAAATCTGACCTATTGCAGTTTTTGTTTTTTAAAATATATTGTATTTTAATAAGTAGAAAATAGTAAAAACAAAAGATGAAGTTCAATACCAATGGCACTCAAAAATCTCATATAACTGCTTCACAAAATAACAATCTAGTCATATAACATAATTTTGAATTAGTTCAACACTGTATTCATATTCAACAGTTCAGTTCCTATTTAAAAGTAGTATTTAAAACAAGCTAACCTAGAAAATTTCGCTGAAAGTTGTGTGAAAAAAAAAGAAAATATTCATAGTAAGTATCTGGACGTTCAGAAATGTTTGATCCGTCTCTCTCCTCTTTAGCTGGATGTCTTTTATCGATGTGCTCTGATATGTATTATCAGTTGTCGTTCATGTATCAGTCACCGGAAAGAATCAAAAATAATCAGCTAGAATCAAGATTTCATACTCTGTCTAACAATATATTAAGATTTTTTTTCTGGTATTAGGTTAATTCATCGAATGCAAATGTTTGATGGTAGCCAAAACCAACGATTACACAAAATGCTAATTTAGCAGATATTGATAAATATGTTTGCTGATTTTTCAGACATCAAGATATCATGGAAGAAGCTCAAAAGCAATCATTTAGAACTGGAATTCGATGTTCTTTTTACTGACTTTCAACTGGTCAGCTGTAAGTAAATATGTCAAATAAATCAAAAATAGGTTTTCTTCTGTTATTCCTAACTTCTCTGAATGAGATTTTGGAATAGTTTTGACGATTCTAATGCTGCGCAGAATTTCATTTTTCTACTGAATCATACATTTCAGTAATTTAGAACTCAAAAGAATTAAAATCTATATATAATTCTTGAACCGTTACTTTTTATGTGAAACAGCATTTTTCAAAAGAAAACGTTTCTTTCGAATTTCGGAATTTATAATGTAATAGATTTTGAACGTTTGTAGCAAATATGCAGAAAGAGAAATAAATTGGGTATGTTGTAGAACAAACCTCGCTCAACAAACTTGTGTTTAAAAAGACTTTCTTGTAGTTTGAATCGAGACAGTTTTTATCGAAATACAAAACTGAACTACATGAAAAATTATTCACAGATGCCATGCTTAATCTTGGTCAAAGGTTTGTTCTCAATGAACTAACTTTAAGTCAGAAAAAAAATTCTGAATATCTAGTTAGAAAGAGTATGCAATTCTGATTCTAGCTAATTACTTTTGATTCTCTCCAGTAACTGATAAATGATAAAAAAATTGATCATATATGTTGTACAAAGACTTTCTACATACATGTTAGTCACAATCTAATACACTATTTTGTTTGTCGTTGTTAATTTTGTATAATCTATGCTTTATTTATCGTTTTGACTGTTGTACGAGACAAGAAATAGTATTTTTCTAGAAAAGCAGTTCTATTATTTCAAACAACATAGTAAGTATACTTATATAAAAGTGACAAAAATTCTTCCGTAAGATGAAATTCAAACTAAGTATAATAAAAATAACAAAGTAATGTTTATTCTTTTATTATTTAATGAATACAATCAAAAATCAAGTCTAGAACAGTTGCTCACATGGTTTTGGATAGAGATATGGATGAAGAAATGATCTACGTCTGCAAGCAAGTATCCTAGCGAGTAACTGTCCTGTTTTCCAAAAATCAATGTCTTTACAAAGTCAAGTTGAATACAAATAGAGAAGAATTTCAAATAGTTCCATATTTGTCGGAACATTTGAAATGTCAAAATTTGGATGTTTCTTAACAATAGCGATTACATCCGGTTTATGTTAATATTTTGTTTTTCAATTGTATCTTTAGTTATTGTTTCAATAAGTTTTTCCTCGTTAAGATCGGGTAATTTCCAAGCTAGATATCATTACTCTGAAAATTGATGAGATTGTATTGACTTGTATACACGAGATTTTATTGAGATTTATTCGACGACATGATGTGTATCCATCAGAAAAGTCTTCGTGTCAACCTACAGGATCATCCTAATACCGGTTAATAAGTTCTCAAAAAAAAAAGTCTCGAGTTTTCTTTTTTGATAATTACTTCCGTTGAGAAGATTCATACTTTTGTATTCTAGATATTCAAGATTAAATTTTTTTTTCAAGTTTCAATCCTAATTTTGATTGCTCTATTTTCAATTTCTAGCTGATCAATGTTTAGAAACGTACAAAAACGAATGTAATAATTGTCTGATTACAAAAAGTATTTTTCTGGAATGTCATGTGTTCGTGTTAGACAACTAGTTTATGTGAAAGGGTATATGATTATCTTTTCCAACATGTAATTATTGTTTTTTGCATGCCATCTTTGTGTCCATGTGTTAATCTCTTTTTTTTACGGATTCTATTTATAAAATAAAACTTTTCATAATATAATAGAAAGCATATGCTAGATGTTGCATAGAGCCTAACGAGCCTAGATATAATAAACCGTAAACAACTCCATAATCTGAGATGACGACGTACAGCTCAAAAACTAGTGACAAATAGTCATTATTTTTTACAGTCTACGGTAGAAATTGGAACATTTTTCATAGTCAAAATGACTATCCTGACTAGATCTATCTGTGGTAAAAATTACAGACTCCTACGATTTAACATCATTGTATTATAAATTTTCTAATTTTTCTGAGTTTTAGAAGAAGAAAATAAGAAAAATACTCATCATGTTTGAATGAAGAGCCTTGGAGAAAGTTTTTCTTTGTTTTTCTTTTTACTATTTCGTTATATTTATTTGAATGAGATATAAATGAGTTAAAACTGAAGATGTTCTTGTATGAAAAAAAAAATACCTTCAAAAATATCGATTTCAAGGTTTGTTACTCTCTTTTATAACTTTTCTAATGTAATTGATGATTTAATTAGAATGTTGTAATATCGACAAAACAGTCAATAAATATCCTACTTATGTATTTATTGATTCATTTTAACAGACTAAATGAATGATAGAACCTAGTGAATAAAGAGAAATTATTCCGAAGATTTTTATTTACTTTACAGTTATGTCTCTGTACTATGAAAAACTGAAAAGATAGGTAATTTATTAGTAAACATGTTCGAATGCTTCCAATGACTTTTATTTCTGTCATTGGACACATTCTAATTGATTCTGTCACGTATTTCTTCTATTTAAACATATTCGTGTGCTTCTTTTTCATATCATAATTATAGTTATACAAATTTCATTGTTTCACAATGCATTAACATAGATTTTAATAATAAGACAAGTATCATAAAACTAAATCATATGTTATTGGCATATTTAAAACTTCGGTTAAGTATTTATTACTTGTATGATTGTATTTCGTTTTTTTTCTTTATTGTCTAATATATTCAACTCCGTTCTCATCAATAGATAACTATGTTTACATATGATATTGACCATTGTATTCTTTCTTTCTACTCGTCTTTTTTTTTTTCTTTACTACTATCATTGCTGATAGCCAATGCTGTCGATCATTATAAGAGAAGGATTCATCCTATAATACTTAAAAACAACGCTATCACATACATATACATCGCCAACATACATTCCATTGTTATCTCTGTCTTCTCTATCTCTCGTTTTTCTTTTGTATTCGTACTTGCTTGCGGCTCTCCGTTCTCAGACATACTCAATTCACTGTTCGCTCACACATTCAATATTGTTTATTTCTTGTGTGTTTACATATCTTTCGTGTTCACTTTCAAATTTTTCTTAGGTATACATCATCATGGGTGCCAAATTAACCAAAGCAAAAAGTGTATCAATATTAGGAAAAACCAAAGATGAACAGAAAGAAGCAATTACAGCTATTGAAAAAACGAGCAATCATCTTGATTTGACAACAATTGAAAATAATAAACCATCAAAGAAGAAAAATAAAAAGAAAAAAGAACAAAAATCAAATAAAAAATCATCTACAAAGAAGATAGACAAGAGTACAAGTACAGAAAGTTTTATGTTATCATCACCAACAATCACTGAACAATTGGTCTGTGATCAGACACCTACAATAAACAAAATTGTTTCGTTGAATACAAGTACAGATCAAGTAAATACAGCCTATCAACGTGAAATTCCAAATAAAGATGTAGAAGAACTTCGAAATGCTTTTATTCGTAATGGTATCATGTCTGCTGATTACCAGGTTGATAATACACAAAATTCAAATGAACAAGAATATCAAGCAAATATTTTGAATATTACTGAAGAATCTTTAAATAATACTTCAGTAACATTTATTGGCAATAGTAATCAAGTTTACATTGAAGAAGAACAACAGCAATCTGTTGTATCATAAATAGCTAATTAACAGTAAGTAAAAAAATCTGTGAGAAGAAACTTCTTTCTTTTCTCAGTAGTTTAATTAACTATTTGAAAAATAATATTAACATATAAATGATTAGTAATGTTCTTTTTCTAGGATTGTGTCGACGAAACAACTTTTTTTTTATGATCGAACTCATTTTTCAATAATCAAGATTGATTTTGTTTCTTTTTTTTTTGTGCACATCTATAGATCGTTTTATTCAAGTTTTTTGATTTTATATTACAATAGAGTATTCTTATTATCATTTATTATTTAATATAAATATTCGATTTATATACTTGAATATTTTTACATAGTTAATTCATAATACATAAGTTTTAAAGTTTAAATAAAAAACAGAATGTTTCTGCATGATAATATATTCTATCTCATATATTGATATATGAAAGTTTTATTTTTTTTTTAAATTAAAAATCGATATCATTTAAGACATATGAATGTAGGCGTTTTTTGGCATTTAAATTATTATTATTTATAGTAAGTGGTTATTAGTCACCTCTAGATATACATAAAAGACTTGTTAACTTTTATCTAATTTATTATTATTGACAATGACGTTGATATGAGAACATTGTGGCGTCTATTTCATACTATTAATCACGCTTATGTGTATCATTACGTCACTTTTTCTTTCTGCTCTGTGAAGACGTTTTACAATCATTGATTTATTTCTTCAATGTTTTTCTAAGACGCCTTACACAATAGAATGACGTAGCATGTATTTCATTCGAGTTTGCACAATGTTAGATGGATGTGAAATAAAGCTCAAAACTCACTTTTCGGATCTTTTATTGATATATGATATTTCTTTCTAGAACAAATATGAATTTATTATAATATTATTATACATTCATCAATTGTCTTATGTCATTGTTGCAAATAGAACTTTACTATTAATACATATTTAACAATAGTTTATAGTATGTGACAATGATTTTAATGTCCTTCATATTTCTATTTATTGAAAGATGATAATAAAATAAAATACTTTTAAAATTGAAATATAAGAAAGAGAATCACAATAAAATCTAACATTCATAGAAGTTTATTTCAATTAAAATTCGAATATTTTATTACCAAGTGTATGATATCTATAGATAAATAGGATTACATCTTTCTTTTACAAGATTTCTATACATTACTCAATACTCTATCAATATTTGTATATTTCATGGCCATTTTTAATACATAAATGCAATCTAAAGGATTTCCATACAATTTATGTTGATGGTATTGAATTTCGTAATTCATTTATTGACTTACAGATGAAAGTATATATAGAAAAAAAAGTATCTCATCATCATATTGTATACATACGTGAAATTTTTTGAAAATTTTTATTTATATCACGTAAAGTGAATTTCTTATTTCATCATTTGTTTTACTTTTTTATGTTATTTTGTTTAACTACTAATTTTCTTTTCCTATCTTCAAGCATTTTAATTCAATATTATATTAAAATGAGTATGATGAAAGAATTGAATTGTGAACAAAAACAAAAAAATTATGAATGAAGAATATGTCCATCAAAAAATCATACTTTTTGTGTAAATATTATTGAATAAATAAAATTTATTGATGGCCTTGTGAGTGTAGAATTGATAATTAAAGATGATATAGTTTCTTTTTTTTAAGATTCATGATAAAATAGATATTGTATTACATTGAATAGCATGAAATAAGTTCTGATTCATGTCAATATTAGTTTTCAATAATAATCAAAGTATTAAGTTTGCTTAGAATTATTCAAAAGTTTTGGATATAATGTTTTCATCTTATCAGAATAGTTTTTGAATGTTTGTCTATTGGGAAGATTAATTGTAAATTATTATAATTTTAGTTTTAATTATCTCTCAGCATAACTATTTGTCTTAATCAGAGTCCTTGATTAGAACTTTCCAAATGTTCGACTTTCTGCTAATCTTTTACAGCTTCGTGGTAACTTTGAATAGGAACCTAATTCTAAAAGATCATTTGCCTTTCTCTAACAAAAAATGAAATAAAAATAAGTGGACTATGTCGTTACGAAGTGAATAAGATTGAAGAGAGGTACGACCTGGTTGCAGGGATCCAATCACGGTTAACTTCATTCTTCCCTTCCTCAATCATCACTTCCAGCACTCCAAAGATGAAAGCATTTTCTGCGAAAATTTGCAGACTTTCTGCCAAATTTTAAAGTCTTAACCCTGTATTTTTCATGTATATATGAACATAATATATCGTTTTCTATAATTCTTATACAACTTCAATGAATAATTTTAATCAGAATAAAAACACCTACATATTCTTTTTTGTACAGTTTTCTTTAATATCAGTCATAAGAATGTTTTATTTTATAAGAAAACACATCAATAAATTTTTTCTTTTATTTCTTTTAAATCAATTGTTCTGATTATTGAAAATTATTTTTCTATAAGTACGCAATTCTTCTTTTTCTTTTTTTTTTTCTACATACAACGATAATCACCAAACACACAAAAGACAAAAAAAAGAAGTAGAAGTATATGAGACCAATAGAAAAAGAAAAAGAAAAAGAAAACAAAAAGATAAAGAGAAACGAACAAACAAGAATCATTCTTAGGATCAAGAGAGAAAACAAAAAGAACTAGATATAAAATAGTAGAGAGTAGAACAAACAAAACACTGTTTAGATGAATAATAAATGCTAAGCTTATGGTTGAAAACTCGGATTAAGTCAGCGCCAGAGAATAAGTGTTATACTATCTTCATCATAAATTTTAACGATATGAGTGTAACGTGACCAGCACGTATTTGAATAAAAACGAAAAACAAACAAACAAACGAGATCAAATGAAAAACACGTAAAGAAAACAATTTCATACAAGTTGAGATGATTGTTTTGTAGATGATGATGATGAAGATAGAAGATGTGGTCCAGCCACAGGTAATGTTGAATTAGACGATGACGATGACGATAATGTAGTTGATGATGATGATTCGACAAGAAGAGAAGGTGCAGGTGGCGGTAAAGGTAAAGAAGATAATTCTTCAGCTCGTGTACCTGAACCAAGACGATATTCTTTTCCACGCCATTTAACTATTGATGAACCAGTAAATGCTTTAAAATAGATGTAAAATGATGAAAATTCGCGAAGAAGCCATGCTATAGCAAATTCAAATTTTGAAAAAGGCAATGCACCACCCTAAAAGTGACGGAAAAAAAATCAAGTATATTTTAATCAAAAGATATTCATCTTATTACAAAAACAAACAACATACTTGTGTTATCCGAAGCATAAGATAATCAAGAATGAACCATATTAATATATGACAAGCAGCAACAACAAGAGCATTCCATTCAAATAAATAATTTGTAACTATACCAGCTAATATAGCTGATGAAAAACACTCTTGTAATGGTTCTAAATAAGCTAATGGACTTAAACGCATTCTTAATTTGCACCATCGAATCATTCGATCAATCCATGTTGATACAGAATATTCACCAGAATTTTGTTGTGCTGGTGTTGATGCAACACGTAATTTCCAACCTTGTTTAGCTACTTCATAAGCTATATAATAATCTTCAGCTATATAATGACCAAAAGCACGTAAACCACCAACACGATCAATACATTCTTTACGTATTAAACATGACATTCCAGTAACACAATTTATACCAATTAAATTGATTGTCATATACATACGAGCATGTTGTGTACCGAAATAAACCTTAAAACAAGAAAATAAAATTTTTGTATTACTTATAATTCAATTTTAAATTGTTTTCATAAAAAAGAAGACAAGTACATATTTGTCTTTGTTTTTTTTTTAGGAATAATACAACAAATCATTTCTTTGTTGGTTTTTTTTTCTTCTATTTGATATCGAATACTTATAGACCAAGATTCTATCATGATTGTATTATTCTCGAATAAATCATGATACAATTTAATTTTCATTTCTTTTTTGAATCTATTAATACAAACCTTTTCAACAGATGCAGCAAAACCTTTTCTATCACAAGTAAATGGCATTTGATGAACAAGGCCAACATTATCGGTCATACACATAACCATATCATATAATGTATGTTCATGCATCAACAAACCACTATCTGATATTAGTATATATGGATATTGAGCTTTTTCATAAGCAGGTAACATATTATATATTTTTGGGTTTTTAATGTCCATTGTATCATTTTTTAATAATTTATCACCGGATGAAAATTTTTGTGAGCCTATTGTGAAAAAAAAAACAAATTTTCAAGAAAAATAAATAAATAAATGTTAATTAGCATATTGATAAAAATCTAATTTTTTTTTTGTTGTTTAAAATCATTATTGATGTAAATTTTATTTTTTTCCGTAGATTAAATAATCTACTTATAAGCTTCCTGCATATAAGCATGGAATAGAAAGATCAGAAAAATATATACCAAAATATAAAAGTTGTTTCCATAAAGAAAGTTGCTTTCGTCGTAATTTTTCACCTCCAATAGTCGTTACCAATGGTATGTCATCATATTCCTGCTCTTCGTCAATCTCGCTCTCTTGTCTTACAGGAGATAATTGAGTTCCTGTTATTAATTTTATTTTTTTTTAAATATTTATTTAATAAAGAATGAATTGATAGTTTTGTTTCTCTTTTTTTTTTTGTATTTTTTTTTTGAATGTACTTACCAACAAATAATTGTGAGTCAACATCAGGATATTCTTCTCGAAGTCTTTCGATCAAATCAATTAGCTCATTGTCGTGTTCTTGTACACAAAAAAGAAGTTCATACTGTTTCAAAAACAAAAAAGAAAAAGAAAAATGAAACTATAAATTAATTTAATATGATAAACATACACGTGGATATTGAAGATTGAAAAATGTTTTTAAATTTTCATATAAATTTGTATCGAGCCCTGTTAATGGTTTAATTATGGAAACACCTGGTATTTCTTTGAGATTACTATGTGATGGTTTTCGATGGAATTTATATAAACTAAATAATAATAATAAAAATAATAAAAAGAAATGTTTAATAGAATAAATATGATTATTTTATTAAATTTTTATTTCTTATTTTGATTAGAATGTACTCTCGCTTATCTTATCTTGTATATATTTTTTTCTTATCAATAGTAATAAAAAAAAAAACAATAATCAATCAAGTTGTCCGAACAGCAGGTGTGAG